GTTATTTTCTTTTTTTAAAAAAGCTTTACTGACCTATATTTTGCAAGCCATAAAGTTCACCAATTTTAAATGTATAATGTGGGGCACCTGGGTGGCTCAGTCGTTAAGCGTCTGCCTTTGGCTGGCTCAGGTCATGATCCCAGGGTCCTGGGATTGAGCCCCGCATCAAGCTCCCTGCTTGGTGGGAAACCTGTTTCTCCCTCTCCCACTCCCCCTGCTCGTGTTCCCTCTCTCGCTGTGTCTCCCTCTGTCAGATAAATAAAATCTTTAAAAAAAAATATAAATAAAACGTATAATGTGATGGTTTTTAGTATATTCAAACATTTTTTTTTAAGATTTTATTTATTTATTAGAGACAGCGAGAGAGAGCACAAGCAGGGAGGAGAGGGAGAAGCAGGCCCCCTGCCCAGCAGGGAGCCTCATGCGGGGCTCGATCCCAGGACCCAGGGATCATGACCTGAGCCAAAGGCAGCCACTTAACCAACTGAGCCACCCAGGCACCCCAGTTTAAAACATTTTAATCTTCCCTAATAGAAACCCTATGTCCATGGGGCTTACAGCGCAGAGTAAATGTCTGTTGGGCTAGGGCATTCTTCTCATTGTGGGTGTGTCTTCCCAGCATGAAGACTCCTTGGTTCCTGTGGGGTTTTTTGCAATGTATGAAGTTTGATGAGGCTGTTTTCAGCTGTGCCTCCTTGGCTCTTTTGCTGGTTAGCTGGTGAGGGTGGAAATAGAAAGAAAAGAAACCCTATGGGGCGCCTGGGTGGCTCAGTCAGTTGGGTGTCTGCCTTCGGTTCAAGTCATGATCCTGGGGTCTTGGGATCAAGCTCCGCATCAAGCTCCCTGCTCATAGGGGAGTCTGCTTCTCCCTCTTCCTCCCCCAGCTTGTGCTCATGCGCGCTCTCTCTCTCTCTCTCTCTCAAGTAAATAAAATCTTAAAAAAAAAAAGAAAAAGAAACCTTATATCCATTACTAGTCACTTTGCCTTACCCCCCAGTACTCTCCTACCTAGCCCTAGACAACCACTAATCTACTTTCTGTCCCTGTGGATTTGTCCTATCTGATCATTTCATAGAAACGCAATCATATAATCTGTGGCCTTTCATGTGTTTAGCTTCTTTGTGATGTTTTTTTCAAGGTTCATCCATGCTGTAACATGTCCCAGTACTTCATTCCTTTTTATGGTCAAAGAATTCATTGTACGGGTAGACCACATTTTAGCTATTCACCAATTGACAGACATTTGGGTTGTTTCCACTTTTTGGCTCTTGCAAATAATGCTATTGTGAATATTCATGTACAAGTTTTTGTGTGACCTGTCATCAGTTCTCATGAGGATACGCCCAGGAGGAGAATTGTTGAGTCATATTAAATTCTTTTTTGACATATGCCCCTGGATATAGGAGATTGCCTCCTTCACTAGGTGGACTTTAGGGAGAGGGCCCAGGGAATATGAATATGACCACCCCTTGGGTAATTAGTTAGAATATTATAGGCTCCTCTGTGCATTTGATGCCTGGATTGCACATCTGGGGACTGAGCTTTACGAGACTTGCTTCCTCTGACTACCCTCTGATGAAGCCCTGCAGCATCCCTCCTGCCACCCCTGGGGGCTCCAGTCAGGAGTACTGTGTGTTCTGGCTACAGGTGTGTGATGGACGATGACAATGAAGTAAGGGACCGAGCCACCTTCTATCTCAATGTCCTGGAGCAGAAGCAGAAGGCCCTCAATGCAGGCTATATCCTAAATGGTGAGTCTCACTGGCTGTCTTTGACTTGCTCCCATCCCAGGGCTGTGGCCCTTCTCACCACTCCAGAGCAGGTGCACCCTCCCTGGGTAGGGGAGGTCTGAGGCAAGACACTTTCGGCTAGACTTTCATGGCAACTTCATGGCATGACTGTAACCTCAGCAGACCTAGAATCTTGCGGTTCACACCAATGTGTGTGGAAACAGCTCCGTGAATTGAAACACTAGTCATTAATAAAAATCTCTCTTTGCATAGTACTCTACTCGCTATAAGTCACTATTTTATATACGTTTATCCCCATATCAGCCCTGTGAAAGAGGATGTAGATGAGAAAGTGGAAGCCCAGAGGATTAAGTGGTTTTCTTGGTGGTCTAGGATCATACAACCTAGTGACCCCAGGGCCTCAGTCTTTCATGGGGGATTCCGGGTGCTCGTTCTGTTGTGTGTTCAGGCACTGTCTCTCTCCCACTGACTTCTAGGCCTGACCGTTTCTATCCCTGGTCTGGAGAGAGCTCTGCAGCAGTACACTCTAGAACCATCGGAAAAACCTTTTGACCTCAAGTCTGTGCCCCTGGCCACCACACCAATCGCAGAGCAGAGAACAGGTAAGTAACACCTGTGCTTTCAGAAGCCTTCAGATCCAGGCCTCTGCTGGAGGGTCTACATGGGCCGTGATGCCACTAAACCTGGCCAGGATGGGAGGGCTTTGTACAAAGAGGATGGAATAATCCTTTCTACATCTGGCTCCAAGAAATGGAAACACATGCACATAAACACTCCCTCTCTCTCTCACATGTTCTGTACTCTCACCTGTTTAGGCTCTCGGGGTTTGGAAGTTATAATCCGTAAGTAACAGCTCTGTGGTCAACACCACACTGCCCTATTACTGGAGTTGTTGGTCACCATGTATGTTTGCTCCTGCAGAAAGCACCCCCATCACAGCCGCCAAGCAGCCAGAGAAAGTGGCAGCCACCCGGCAAGAGATCTTCCAGGGTGAGTAGCAGTGGTTGGTGGGGCTTTCAGGACCTGGGCTTGGTCTCCTCAGCTTTAGGGTAGTTGCTCTTCTCAGGGGAATTAGGAGAGACTCAATCAACAACAGTCCGTATCCTTTTTTTAAGATTTTATTTATTCACTTGAGAGAGCAAGCATGAGCAGCAGGGAGGGGCAGAGGGAGAGGGTGAAGCAGACTCCCTGCTGAGGAGGGAGCCCAATGTGGGGCTTGATCCCAGGACCCTGGGATCATGACCTGAGCTGAAGGCAGCCGCTTAACTGACTGAGCCACCCAGGCGTCCCCTCAACGACAGTTCTTACTCTTGAGTGCTGGGCCCTAAGAGTACTTTAGTCAGCACATTTGACCCTCAGGTGGAAGTCATCAGGTCCATTTGGTATTGGAAAAACGGAAGTTCAGAGAGAGAAAGTGATATGCCTAAGGTAGCACAGCAAGAAAGTAGAGGGGTTGGAATTAAGATTCACATCAAACTGGCTCAGAGCTGCCACTTAGCCTTGGTTCTGAGGGCTTTGGTCCCTGGAGCCCAGGTTCGTGCTGAATGTCAGATTCAGTACAGTTGGGGTCCAAAGACCCTAATACTTTTTTTTTGGGTGCCAGAGGCATTCAGTCCACATTGTCTGGGAAGGTTTTGTTTAGGTATTTATCTATTCCTCTGGTCTTGTATCTTTTTAAGGGTAGAGGCTATGTGTCTAACTGCCAGACCATATTATCTACTAAATTCCCACCTTCAAGGACTAACACATGCCCCTCTTCCTTCTTGAAGGATCCCCTATGCTCATCACTTCTACTCCACCTCTTCTGTCTTCTCTTAACTAGTTCTGTATGGTTCTTCACAGGTTCTGTCCTTTATATGCTCTATGATAGCTTTTAGCAAAGTGCCTTTCTTCCTCCTAATTGGGTGAGTTCCCAATTATTGTTGAATTAAATTAAATCCTCCCCTCCATTCCATTCCATTCCATTCCATTCCAGAATCCTGTCTTCTGTCATCTTTCAGATTCAGCAAAACTAGGATCTGGAGCTAACTGGGATCACTCTAACACAGAACTTTTCCTTCTGTATTACTTTCTCCTTGCTGTTACCACAAATCACCACAAACTTAGTGGCTTAGCACAACACAAACTTATTATCTTAAAATTCTGAGGCAGAAGTCTAAAATGGGTTTCACTGTGTTGGCTCCCTCTGGAGGCTCTAGGAGAGAATCGTGTCTTTGCTTTTTCTAGTTTCTAGAGGCCTCCTCCATTCCTCTCCTGGTGACCCCTTCCTCCGCCTTCACAGTCAGCAGTGTGGCCTCTTCAAATCTGACTCTGAGCCTTCTACCTCCTTCTCTTAAGGATCCTTGTAATTACATTGGGCCCACCAGATAATCCATAATCTTCCTGTCTCAAGATTCAACTTGCTTTTACCATGTGATACAACGTATTTGTAGGTTCTGGGAGTTAGCTTGTACACATCTTGGGGCCACCATTCTGCCACACCTTCGAAGGAAGGCTCCTTCTAAGTCTCTTAGAGGGTATCAATTTCATCTTTAAACAGTCTTCCAAAGTCTAACATTTATTGATCACCTGTTCAGTTTTAGGAACTTTGCTAGATCCTGACATTTATTGCCTCGTTTATCTTCACAGTAATCCTGTGAACGAGATTATTATATCTATTTTATTGGTGAAGAGTCGGAAATTCAGAGGCATTAACTGATAGCTTCTAGCAGAATCCCCTAGGGTAGTTAAGTGTCAGGTCTAGAAACTTGGGGCCCGATGAAATAAATTCCCATAGAAAAGCACTCTGGTGGCTGGTGATCATGATGGCCCAAAAGTGCCCACTGATGGGGCGCCTTAGTGGCTCAGTCATTAAGTGTCTGCCTTTGGCTCAGGTCATGATCCCAGGGTCCTGGGATCAAGCCCCGCATCGGGCTCCCTGCTCAGCGGGAAGCCTGCTTCTCCCTC